AGGCTGCTTACTGTCAGGAGAACCGTTGTAATGTAGCTCCAGGAAGACAGGGGGCTCCTCTGAACCTTTAGACACACTAAGGAAGGCTCCCATCTGTTGTTCCTCGATCCAAGCCTGCGGTCTACAATGGCACAGTTTATTAGACAAAAACACTTCTACTTCATCTACTCTTCAGAACAAAAACAGGATCGGCAAATATACAACAGTAATTCACTTATTGGAGCTATTCTGTGCAGGGTGTACCCTGCCTCTCGCCCTGTGGCAGCTGGGATAGGCTCCAGCCCCCCTCCGATCCTAAATTAGTTAAGTGGAAAAGAATGGATGCATAAAAAACTATTTTTTATATGCCTTCAGTCGGGGGAATGGGACCATTTTGTACAGTATTTGATTAGAAACTGATGAGAGGAGGCAAAGTAATTTGAGAGATAAGAGATAAATCTTTATTTATTTACAATAGTACAACGAAATTGGAAACTGAATTGAAAGGGTCCTGAAACCTGGAGGGGAAATTCTTAGATGCCAAAGCGCAGTTATTTTGAAGATGCTCTGTTGTTTATCTGTTTATAAGAGTATGTGCCATGCCTAAAGGCCACACACAGCTTTTTCTTTATATCAATTAAACACTGTGTGTCTATTACACAATATAAACATGGTAACATCTTGTTCAACCAATTGAACAAGTCCAAAGAAAATCAGTTCCCCTATGAAAGAAAACAGATCAGCCCATGACTTTAAAAAAAAATATGAAAAAATGTAAATAAACACATTCATTCATTAAATAATAATAATAATAATAATAATAATAATAATAATAATAATAATAATAATGCTTATTCACCCAGTCAATTAATTATGAAAATAAACAAATAAAGTAACTGACTGCAACAACCAAATCAGTGCTCAGAGCTAAATAAATAAATAAATAAATAAATAAATAAATAAATAAAAGAAGTAGATTTAAAAAAAAGAAAAAAAAGAAAAAGAAGTTTTTGATCATTTATGTCAATACATGGAAAAGTTTCACCTGAAACATACAACAGTTTAAAGTCAATGTTTTATTCTTCCTGATTTTGAAAGCGGTGCCGGGGATGATGATGATTAACGAAACACTCACCTCTTGTGTATGGTGACTCGATCAGCATGTGGAGCCAGTTTCTCTTCAATGGTTTTGGCAAAAGCAGTAGGCGTGATGTGATTGGCCGGCGCTTCCATGAGAAGCCGTGCCAGGTTTTGGCCCTCTGCATACACGATGCCTTTCTCCCAGCCGACCACGTCAGCGCTAGGAAGAGTCAGACACAGGAAGTAGCATGTCGCTGTATTTAAAGCGTTAAAAACCTCTGACAGTCAGCGAGCTTCAGTTTTTCGAATCTACCTGCCGTGAAGCTGCGTTGTTACTTTGGTCTTCTTCTTGGATTTGAGCTGGTCATAATGAAACAATCCCAGAACGGCGCCTTCTGCTGCTGACTGGGCATCACCACAGCTGTCCACCTCCACGTGGCTCACCTCCAGGTCCTGAAGCAACCGGCAGCCAGCTGAACGCGCATGAATGACAGAAACAAACCAGGTACAAATTCAGCATAAACCCGAATGAGTGCAGATGAAGATGTAACATGCAACAGAAGCAATGCTGTGCAATAGAACCTAAAGGTGACAATCTGCATTACCTCTGAGCTAAAGGTCAAATATGATGCATTTAGTTTTACCTTTTAAACATCCCAGAGGCATTAAAGATAGGTAACATTCGTGTCCGAATCAGAGGATGCACTTTTTTTTTTCTTTACTTTCACTTTGAGATCCAAAGCATTTCAGAGGTGCTGTGCTATGCTCCAGTACCCAGAGTACACGGATTACACAAGCACCCATTCGCAAATGCACCGTAGACTTGTACAAACATTTCTAAGGGTGTCAAAGCATAACAGCAGTTTCCACACTGACAGATTATTATAGCATGACTGTTTGATTAACAAACAGAAGGAATAAGAAAAGGCAGAGTTAACTTTGTGGCTGATACAATTAAAGGTCAATGACTTTGGGATATGTCATAGATGAAAAAAGAAAAAAAAAAAGAGCCAGCTGAGGTGGTTCATGCATCTGGTTGGGATGCCTCCAAATGGAGCTTTTCTAGTCACACCCAACTGCAAGGAGATCCCGTGGTGGACACAGAACCCGCTGGAGAGATTACTTATCTCACACCTTGAGATCCATCATAAGGAACTGGAAATATGTAGGAATGCCACCAGAACCATGTATTGGATAAGTGGAAGAGGATGGATGGATAGATGGGTGAGATAATCTACTGGATTGATGGATTGATCCCTGGCTGATGAAGTGTTCGCTGAAGTTTAAAAAAAATGCTTGTATTAATGGGGAATGTTGTATAAATCTTTGAGTGCTCAAATAGAGTAGAAAAGCGCTATATAAGAACCAGTCCATAACACATTTAAGCCATATTGCACAACACTTTACTCCTGTTATACACACCAACGGCATACCTGACACAGCCTGCCTGATGTTCTCCTTGCTGGTGTCCCAGTTTTCTGTGCGACAAACACCTGCGTTGTTCTTACCCAAACCGACTACTGCTACACATGGGAAGTCCTGCAGGAGACACACAAACAACATTCATCAGGAGATCTTAGACTGAGTAGACGGGGGTTTATAAACATAAAGTCACACCTTGTTACCTTGTGAAGTCCATAAAATACTCTGCTTTTGCCGTTCTTGAGTGCAGGCCCAGAGCTGGGAAATACAAATGTTTATGAGGCTAATCGCACACAAAGGATGCTGTTCACTCTCAGTCTGCAGGTAACAGAGACTCACAGTTTGAGCAGCTCAGAGAGCTTTCCGGAGAGAGACTTGTCAAACCCTGCAGCCGCCTCTGTCAGGTGAAGAGTGCCCTCATCCTCCTCCTCCTTCTTCTCAAACACTCCCAGCACCAGACCCTGTAGACACACAAACACCGTTTAATATGATAAAAGATGCAGACGGCCACATTCTCACGCATGAACCTGCAGAGCATCTGAACCAACACACGGAGCCGAACTGATCTGAAACTGAATGAGTCTCGTGTGGTGATGATGATGATGATGTAACTGTCACCAGATGCCAAACTCACCTTTCTGTCGCTCAGCTGAGTGTGTGAGACACAAAACGACCTGCAGGAGTTTGTCCGCACCGCCGTCCGCGCAGCTGTCCTCACCAGAAACATTGTCATCTGTTGCACACACACCGAGAGCCCAAATAAATCACTTTTAAAGGTCGTGCACTGAGCATGTGCGAGAGGAAGCCGATCGGTCGCGTTTATTTGTACGTCACAGTGAGACGACGGGAGAGGGGCCTTTGTCGCCACCTAGCGGCAGATGGATAATTGATTAAGAGCCAGTATTA